TAAAGTTGAAATCAAAGACAAATGGCTACACATTTCATTTTTTTGTTGTTTTTAATTTTTTAAGGAAGTTCAGATTCCCTATATGTATCCCCCACGTAAATTTACTATTAAACTTTTCTCTTTCTCTCTTTTTTTTGCTCATGGGGCTTGAACTCTGGGCCTGGGCGTTGTCCCTGAGCTCTTCAGCTCAAGGCTAGCGCTCTACCACTTGAGCCACAGAGCCACTTCTGGTTTTCTGGTGGTTAATTGGAGATAAGAGTCTCTTGGCCTTTCCTGCCCTGGCTTTGAACCGAGATCCTTAGATCTCAGCCTCCTGAGTAGTTAGGATTACAGGCCTGAGCCACCGGCGCCCAGCTTCTATTTTTTAAATTTAATTCTGAAAGTAAACACTAGTTATTCAAAAAGCAAGTTGAGCCTGGCACCAGTGGCTCAGGCCTGTAATCCTAACTACTCAGGAGGCTGAGATCTAAGGATCTCGGTTCAAAGCCAGCACGGGCAGGAAAGGCCAAGAGACTCTTATCTCCAATTAACCACCAGAAAACCAGAAGTGGCTCTGTGGCTCAAGTGGTAGAGAGCTAGCCTTGAGCTGAAGAGCTCAGAGACAACGCCCAGGCCCAGAGTTCAAGCCCCATGACCAACAACAAAACAAAAAAAAAAGGCCAGGTGATCCATATAGTGCTGACCCATAAAGATTGTCCTTTCTGATTAAAAAAAAAATCAATTTCATAACCACCATGACCACCCACACTGTTTTTTTACTACTAAACCACAATACCAAGCAGGTGCACAAAAATTGAAGTATTTGAACATTTTACATAAACCTCTACAACCCTAAAGCAGCTACCAGCATTCTGTAAAATTCACTCCTGCTGTTAATGAGTAGACTGTAAATGCCCCTCCCTTTCCACCAGAGTTGAATCTTCTCTGAGAGCTTATATTTCTATACCTTTGAACTCAGCTGAAATACATTTAAAGAGGTAGGTCTTGGGGCTGGGAAGGTGGCTCAGTGGTAGAGCACTTGCCTTGCAAGCTCGAGGCCCTGAGGTCGATTCCTCAGCACCACATAAGAAAAAAGCCAGAAGTGGCGCTGTGTGGCTCAAGTGGTAGAGCGCTAGCCTTGAGCTGGAGTTGAGGGACAGCGCCCAGGCCCAGAGTTCAGGCCCCACGATCGGACCCCCCCCAAAAAAAAGAGGTAGGTCTTGCTTTGTTACTAGACTACCCATGAAAGACAATCTTTGAACGTATTTGGGATAGGTTGTTTCAAATCTCCACCAAAAACAAATATGATATATGCCAAATCTCCATTATGATCAGACCCACTTCTCTGGTTTTTCTGAACAGTTCTTGAATCTAACAGATCGGGTTTTTCTTTACACTTTGAAAATACACTTGGTCAGTAGAGCTTCTCAGGCCTCCCCAACCCCCACCTCTTTTGTATGTAAACACACTCTAGTCACACACACACTCCATCAGCTGTTTGGTAGCTCCACCCCTCCTCCTTTTCCGGGTAGTAACAGAGCGGCCAATGAACTGCGAGGAGCTGTGCCTGCGGCCTTTTGCCTGCATACGCTTTTCCAAAACAAGCAGCTCTAGCCTTCAGCTGAGGCCACTGGTTCTCAGATAAAAGGATCACCAGAACTGTGCAACAGGGTGAGACGAGTAACCCCCACCAACAAGGAAGCCTGTGTAATCTGAGCTGTTTGTTCCTCCACTAGGGAGAACTTAAACTGATATTCCTTTAGGGCAAATCACGCTTTAAGGTCACCAGAGTCCCAATTCTCAGACAATCTAAATAATCAGGGGGTAGGAGATGGAAGCCTCAGAGGCTGGTTATCTTGTTATTGCAGACTATCCATCTATCTGACTTTGCAAAACAAATGGCTGCACTATCTGCCACAGGATTTGGGCTACCAGTTCAGTTTTCTGATTGGGACACATTCCTTCAGTGTCCAAAAGTCATGTAAATCAGTTTCTAGGCTTCTGGTGAGGTTTGCACAACCCTTAGCTAAGGAACAGAAGAGAAACAATGAATGAGTCAGAGTTTCAGAGCATAATCGCCCAGCAGATTATTAAGTGCATCAGTGCAAAACACTCACTCCCTGCCTAACTTGGGAGTCAGCCCTCTTCCTACCAACCCATCACAAAAGAACTATCACAGACAACAACCAGTGTCTGGAAAGAACCTAGCAAGGTGGTGTAAGGCAGCAGCCAATTAGTTACACATCCTCTTCTCTCCCTACCCCCATACCGCTACTTTCCTACTATACAGATTCCCTGCCAGGCTGTAAATCGTGGTGGTATAATTACGCCCAGGAGACAGGCAAAAATGGGCTGAAACAGGAGATTGCAATGAAGGCAGCTATCAGCCTCCACACCAAGGAAATCATCAAGGGGCAATGAGGGGCAAGAAGTACAGTACATTCCTTCAGACCTTTCCTTCCCACTTTTTCTCTACCATATTTCATTCTTAACCCTCAGCCCCGTCATACAATTGTACTCATTTCAGTAGTAGGTTGGGGGATTTTCCCTTAAATTTTTAATTAAGTATACCTTACTCAAAAACTGTGAGCTCCATTTGGGCGTGCTGATGTGAATTCAACTGAGAAATGAGGCCACAAAATCTCTGTCTCACAATAGACACACACACACAAAAGGGAATCTGAAATTTTTAACTTCTAAACTACCCTAGACCAGAAAATAACAAACACTAAACAAAAAGATAACCTCTTGCTTTCAAAACCCGACTGTTATTCTCCTGTCTCAGAGATCTCCAATTTTAAAGCGCCTCTGCTTTCTTTTGTCAGCACGAAGGAAGGTGGGGAAAGAACAGAAGGCCAATGCATCTTTGCCTTTCTTCATCTTCTACTAAAAATAAGCTATGAAATAAGCCACTCAGGGGGAGGGAAAAAAAGACATCCTGCTGTTCTTTGTCTGTTTTCCTCTCCTTCTCCACACACACACCCCACACCCCGAGTCCTAAAGCAGTAATCATTTTAGATGCCACAACTACTAAATGAACAAAAGGCACTGCATGGAAAAGGCATCAGGTCAAGTTAGGCCTCACTCTTTATCCTCGATCGCTTAGAAATTTATGTATGTATGTAATTTGAAGACCTGACATCAATCAAAAACAGCTGGAATTCTCTCCCCTCCCTCCATCCCAATTATACATTAAGGAGAAATTTGCATTAGGTGTGAAGTAACTCTCAATTCAAGATAAAAATAACTCACAAGTCTGCCACCATGTCATTTACTAGTTTCTAAACAAAAATAAATCCCCAAACTGCTTTGTCTAAAATGTACAGTTACAAGTTTTCCTGCAACCTCATGAAAAGTCCACATTACTGGCATCATTCACCCATTTATAAAACAATCACAGCCACAAACAGCTCATAGGACTTGATTTCACTTGTGCCTAGATAAGTAACTTGCTTCTCACTGATTCCTATTCCCCCCCCACACACACACACACAAAATCCTAAACTTACAAGTTTTTCTACTATTCTTAATTTCTAGCCAAGTTTTCCCTCAGTAGGAAAACACTTTATTATTCCTGAAAAGATTATGGGGAAAAAAAATCTCTTGCCCAGGCAACTGCCCTCCCATCCCCCATTTTTCAAACTGTATGCAAAAACTACTTTTTAAAAACTTCAGTAAATTCAGAATATCTGACAATCATCTTTGATCTCTACAAAAAGCTACAACAGTCAATCAAAACCGGTAGGTAACAAATAAAAGAAAGAATTCACCTGAAGAATCTAGCCAAACAACTTGAGTTATATAAACAAAACCCTGCAACAGGGGGAAATGGTTGGGGGATGGGGGTGAAGCAGAAAAAGAAACAGGAGACAGGACTTTTTTTAAACAGCCTTTCACACACTTCACCCCTCTTACCCCCACTACCCCGACTCTCCAGGGATTAGCTATTCAGAACACCGAGATCCTCCCACCCCCCCTCTAAATTAGCCCTCAAAAAAAAAAAAAAATCCTCGATTTGTCTCAGGAACCTTCGCGAATTTCTCTAGCTAGTCATGAAATAATCAGTCTGGACTGCAACCAAAACCACTGCCTTGAAACGACTCTTATCAGTAATAGCTTTTCCACTGCAACCTCGGTGTCTAAGTTGGGGAGAAAGGAGGGTAGAAAATAAAGGGTGTCACTTGGCAAGATCTGGGCAAACAATCCCCAAGAACCTTACCCTCACAGAGGGAGTTTTGCTTAAGTGGCTCGCACAAGGGCTATTTTGTCCGGGTGCTCGTCTTTCTCTCCTTCCTCCCAGCTGTCAGATCCACAATATGGAGGGTGGGCTGGCTGGAGGGGCCTGGGGTCCTCACTGCTTACAACTACGGGTGGGCTACGCTTTGTCAGTGCAAAGGAAAAGAAGAAGGCTCTCGGAGGAACCAGAACGCTGAGCAGGAGTCTCCGCGTTAAAGCACACAGAGCTCTTTATTAGAAGAGGGGCCCTGAGCAGAGGACTCTCTTCCTAATATAGAAAGGAATTAGGGATAAAGGAGGTCGCCTGAGTTACCCCAGTTCAAGCAGCACTGCGAGTGGAGCCAATGGGGACGGCCTCCGGAAGGGGAGAAAGGCTTCCCTCTCGGAAATTTCCACCTTGCGCCCCTAAATCCAGAGCTAGCAAACAGGAAACAGAGCCTCTGAAGACAGGCTCGGTGAGGGCACAGTGAGCCGACTCGTCCTGACCAAAAAATGAATAAATACATAAATAGGCCGTCTTGGGAGTCCAAACGTCGTGCAGAAAGTCACGGGCTCTGGGGGCACAGGAGGAGCAAAGCCACGCGTATTTCGGGGTGCTTCAGATAAAGGGGAGCCGAGAAAGGCCCCTGGTTCCTGGGAGGTGCCAAGGAGCCTCCGTTGGCACTGACGGGAGTGTCGGTCGGCCAGTGGCCTGGAGCGCCCCAGGGCCCTCGCCTGATTTCGGGGGCTTTTCAGTGCAACCCCACCCCTACGCGCGTCCCCAACTCCCCCTCCGCGAAGGATACAGCTTGACCACGTCCGTGTCCATCCGCCTCTTGCCCGGACTGGGGGATGACATGGTGTCGCCGCTGCCGCCCCGTCGCCTGCGCCGCCGCCGCCGCCTCTCTTCCTTCCTGGACCCGTCTGTCACGGGCCCCGGGCCCGGCTCTAAGGGGCCCGCGGCCGCGCCGGCTCCCCGGCGGAGGTGGCAACACCTCCGAAGTCCTGTCGGGTCTGGTCAGCCGCCGCCGCCCCCCGCACGGGGGAACACCGGGCACCGTCCGGCTGAGTGGGGGTGGGGATCCGCGGCGCCCAGCTCCGGCTGTGCTTCCGCCGCGGCCGGGGCCCGGCGCTCCTATGCGCCGCGCGACGCCCCTCCTTGCCTGGCTCTCGCTCGCTCGTCTGCTCGCCCGCTCACCCTCTCTCACCGGCTCCGAGCAGCCTCCACGACAAGCGGACGACTCCTGCTACGGTCGGCCTCTCTACCCTAGCCTCGCTCTAGGCGCCGTGACGTCACCTCTGTGACGTCATCGGAGAGGCGGGATCGCCGGCGAAAGAGGTGGAGCGCCGCCGCGGCGTGGGCTTTTTTCCCCCGGGGGGTTCTGGGAGATGTAGTTCCTCTTTCTCCAGCCCTGTCACGGCCCTCCGCCCCCTCCCCCAACCTCCTCCTCACACTTTATCGCCCAACTGCCAATGTCGTTACTATCACCATAAACGATGGTAGTAAATAATGGCAGTGCTATTACGTTTGTGCGTTTTATGTATCTCCTTCCCGCACACTGTTAAGAAAAGCTGTTGGAGATTTAGAGGAGGCCAAAGTGGCAATAACAATTTTGACAGGAATCAAAATCTGGAAATTCCCGCATCAACAGGTTCCCGGGCTCTGTTAACCTCCTTGAATGGAAAGAATTTGTTTGCAGGAATTGCAAGGCTTACTCAGAGCTTGCAAACTAGGGTTCATTACCCTCCACACACATACGAAGCTAGACTAGAGGACTGGATTCAGGCAGCCAGATGGCAGGGACTGAAATAGTTTAGTACTAACTTCCCCATTCTACAGAGTTCAAAGGAATTTGAAACTCACAACGTGAGTGATTGTTAGAAACATCCCCCCCCCCTCCATATGTTATCGTTCCGGACAAAAACTGCCCTCCAAACTCCAACCTCTTCATTCATTCATTCCTTCATTCCTCTTCATTCCTTCAGTAAATATTTGTGAAGTACTTCCTGTTTGCTCAAACTTTTGGGGGTAATGAGGACATATTATAAATGAAGATGTAATTTACACAGCCCTTTCAAAATGAATCTACACTGTCAATACCACCTGGAAACTTGTCAGAAAGGAAGCCTAGAGCTTGCCTCAGTCCTAATCAATTAGCATATGAGTTATTGAACAAGTTCCCCATGTGGTTCCTATGCCCCAGTAAAGTTTGAGAAGTTTTTTT